AGTTGTTAAGTGCTTGTTAACACAGTTAACATCTATAGCCCATGAAGAAAGGAACCCTGGTGGCACAGTTGTTAAGTGCTTGGCTGCTAACCTAATGGTTCAAATTCACCAAATAGCCCATGAAGAAAGGAACCCTGGTGGCACAATTGTTAAGTGCTTGGCTGCCAACCTAATGGTTCAAATTCACTCGCTGCTCTGCAGGAGAAAGATGCAGCTGTCTTTCGTGAAGATTACAGCTTTGGAAACCCTATGAGGCAGTGCTGCTCTGTCCTTAGGGTTACTTTGAGTTGAAATGATCTCAGCAACCACCGGTGTTGATCAGTCAATGAAAAAAGGGGAGGGTGAAAAGATCTTTCTGTTCCCTCCCAGGGTAAATTTTGCCTGCTCCGATTTTTTACAGGTGAATCTAAGTCATAGTGTGCGTGTTTCTGTTATCCTTCCTTGCCATGGGCCAGGCTATTTGACAAAAGTCAGCCCTACTCTCAAGTTTCCAGAGAGTTACTGAAGTCTTCTGTTTCCTCAGCACTAAAATCCTGCCCTGCAGGCATAAATGTTACCCCAGGCTCTTCAGAGGAAGGCTAGGTTCCCAGTGCCTACTATCTTCAGACCCCCAGAAACCCAGCCTAATTCAACCTAACCTGATAAGCAGGAACAGAAAGCAGAAATAGGGCTGAGCCCTTCCTGAGTTCTTGGAAGTATCACCTGACCCAAACCTCTTCCCTCCAATCCAGGCTCAAAGCAACAGGCACCCCAAGGTAGGACTTAATCAGGGCCCAGAAGGCTGAACATCAGAGTAGGAACTGGGCAGTGTCTATCATGATGACTCACTGCCTTCTAGCCTCAGGGATGCCAGGAAGCCACCCCTACACCACCCGATGGAGAAGGGAGGGTGAGTAATTAATTACCCGCTTGCTTCCAAAGCTGCTCTTTTGCCTGCCCCACCCACCACCCTACAACAGCAGAGCAGACAGGCCGGATAGGGGTTAAATCCAGAAGGTCAAGGAGGGTGGAGTCCTGTGGTGTCCAGGCTCTCTTCAGCTCCTGGAAAAGCCTGGAGCTCTGAGCTCTGGGGTTCCACCTTGCCCCACTGACAACACGCCCACTGGAAGCTTTTGTGTAAATAAGGATTTTTTTTTGCTTCTTTTCTACAAATAAATTAAGAAACAAACTAGAAAAGTGTCCACACTCATTGCAGCCCTTGGGTGTGGGGGTATGCCCTGTCCCTGCAGGGCCAAAAGGCTCCATGGTTTCCTCAAATCTCACAGCAGTCCAGGTCCAGGCTGGAGGCAGAAGGGAGGTCACAACCTCTTGGCAGGCTCAGTCCTGCAGCTGCCCCAAACAGCCAGACTGTCCCTGGGGCTCATCCAGGCCTGACTGCTGGCTGGGAAGGGAGATGTCTGGCAGATCTTGGCATGGAGGATAAGGGCTGCTGCAGGGCCTCTCAGGGGAGGGGTTAGCCAAGTAGGCATTCACCAGCTGCATGATCTCTTCCACCTAAGACAAGACAGAGGTCAGGGTGTAACAGGGGCCACTAGGTTCCCTTCTTTGTTTCATTCTCCACCAGGCTCTGAAGCTTCAGCCTCCTACCAGGGCCCTCCATGATCTGTCTAGCCTTTGCAATCTTCCTCTCCTCACCCCTCTCTTCCGCAGTATGTGGTAGTCACTCTGGCCTTCCTTCTATTCCTCTAACATGCCAAGTCTATTCCCATCTCAAGACCTTTGCATTTCTGCTCCCCTCCATGTGGAGTGGCTATTTAAGTGTTACCTCCTGACCATCCTACCTAATACTATGGCCCTTCCCAGTTACTTCTAATTTTCTTGTAGCGCTCTATCTTAAATCATCTTTGGTTACTTGTTTATTGTCTGACTCATCCACTTTAATGTAATCTCCTTGAGCTCCTTTTTGATCACTGCTGAATCTCCAGTGCCTAGAGCTGTATCTGGCCCATGCCAAGTGTTCAATATGTTTCCTGACATCCCTTCCCTTCTCCTCCTCCTCCCCACACCCCTCTCCCACTCACCTGGGGACTCTGCAGAAGGAGTTGGCTCTCTCCCACCCTCAGTGCCAGAGTATGGGGACCCATCAGCTGGCAGGCGGCCACATGGCCATAGCTGACACTGTGGATGGGCTCTGTCTCACCAGGTCGGGAGAGGGACATGGCCTTGGCTCCCAGGCCCAAGCATAGCTTCTGTGGAGTGCCTCCACCAGGTTCCTGCGACAAATGGGCAGAGTCAGGGGGGAAGGAAAGGCCACTAGTGTGTATTTGTTGTTTTGTTGGAGGTGTAGCTGTGAGCAGGGAGGCTCCTGGTTCCCTCTATGACCCCACAGTGCATATCTGCAGGAGTTTAAAGATTCCAGAGAGATGAAGGTCCAAGGTGGCTCCTGGGGTTTGAAATGGGTAGCTCTCTGCTGGGATAGGAAGTGTGATCCACAGTGGGGGCCTGTGGCTCTGGGGCAAAAGTATGGGGCTTGGGCCACCAGAGTCCCCTTCTCCCTTCTCCCCCTCACCGTGCTCAGCTCCAGAACGTCATACCGAGCAGCGCCGAACCCCGGACACTGCGCAGCCAGAGCCAGGTAGGTAGCCATGGCCTCAGCTCGGCCCATGCCCCGAAGCCGCTTCCAGCCACCCAGCACAGCAGCTGCGGTGCCGGCGCTGCCGCCTCCATCACGGGCCCCGCTTCCTGCTGTGCGGCCCGCCCCGCTGCGCCAAGCCCGCTCTGCCCGTCTCTTGGCCAGGCCGGGGCTCCAGAGTGCCCCGGCCAGCAGGGCGGCGGAGGGGAGTGGCCTGGGAGCGGTTCGGGCAGGGTCTTCCCGCGGCGGGGCTGGGGACGGCAGCAGGCGGTCCAGGCGCTGAAGGGGCGCCCTTGGGGAGAAGTCCGGGTGCAGGCTCTGCAGGCGCAGCGCCGCCAGGGCGCGCATAGTGTCGTCGGGAGGGGGCGGCCGGCCGCGCAGTAGCAGAGCGTGAGCCTGCGAGGGAGACACTGGACGTCAATGCTGGGGCGGTGACCGCGCTGTGGCCAAAACTTGGAATCTGAGAAATAGGTTCAAGTAAATGAGATACGTATGGATGAAGTAGAGCCTCACCTGCTCAAAGAGAAAAGGCAGTTCGTGACCGTCTGGGGACAGCCCCTCAGGGCGCAGAGGTCCGTGAAGACGCAGACACAGTTTCCAGCCAGAGTCTGGTGCGTCCTCCAGCTCGGCTTCCTCCGCGGCCAAACTGTAGGGGAGAAAAGGGTGCCTGCCATGAGACAGCAAGGATCCCCCAGGGCTCGGATCACTGTGGGAGAGAGAATCTGGGGTCCGCCAGATGTTTGGGTGGAGTCTGGGTGGACTGGAAAGGGAGGTGAGCTTGTAGCTACACTGCAAACCCCGCGGGCTGGCGTCAAATCTGTGACCTCAGCAAACACCACTGCGCGGGACATGTAATAAGCGCCTGATAAACGTGTGATTAGTAACATTTGCTTGAAGATGAGGCTTTCTGCCCCCGTAAAGATTTACAGCCTAGGACATACTATATAAGGCCGCCTCTATGACTTGGTAGCGTAGTGGTTACGAATGGAATCGGGCTGCGAACCTCAAGGTCAGCAGTTCAAAACTACAAGCTGTTCCGCGAGAGAAAGATGAGGCTTTCTGCTCCCGTAAAGATTTCCAGCCTCGGAAACCCTGTACAGGGTCACTATGAGTCGGAACCGACTCCACGGCATATAACAACAACAACAACAACGACTTGGCCATGGCACACGGCCAGTAACGTTTGCATACTGATGGACGGAATCTGAGAGGCAGAAGGAGCTAATTAACAGCAGGGCTGGGGCTGGACATTTACTTCTCAAACCTGGTGAGTACGTCGGCCACGAGAGTCCCCCCAGCCAGGGCTCGCTCCTGTGTCCCTCGCTGCTCATACAACGCGAATGCGTTGCGGCTCCGGGCCAAGCCCAGTCGCCCTACTAGCTCTTGCGCCACCTGGAGGGGAGCGGAGAGGAGATAGTTAGACCATACAGGGGTCTTACCAGGACTCCTGGAGGGGTTGATTCAACAGGACGGGTCTTCTAGGTCTTTAAATCCGGCCACGCCTATCACTCCTTAACCCAAATGAAGAATCTGAGACACAGGGCAACTCTAGGGCCCAGGCATCGGGAGAGCCAAGCATGGGAAGCTGTGAGGGAGGATTGGGGACTCTCTCCTTCCTCACCTCCCCAGCTGTGGTGTGGGAGTCAATGGCCACCGGGCAGGCGCCAGCTCCGGGACAGTGAACCGTGCACAGCAACTCCTGCAGCCGGCTCAGCGCGGAAATCTCCGCCAGCGACGGCACCAGCTCTCGGCCGCGCGTCCGGCCCAGCGCTCTCCGGATAAAGCGCGCATATTTGGCCAGCTCCGAATCCGGGAGCGCCTGCTCGGTCCTGGGGCAGAGGGGACCCGGGAATTAGTGCTCAGAGGGCTCCTCTTCTCCCCTTCCTTCTTACCTTATTGTATTATAGCGTTTTTTCATCACGTTAATTTCTTTCCCTCCCAATCTAAAGCAGCAACCGTTCCTTCTGTTTCCTTATTGCTCTGTATGGAGCCTAAGTTACCTGCCAACTCTTTCCCACGCCCCCTCCCATTTCCAGGCTGCGCTTTTAGGCTGAAATTCGAAATCCACCAGCATCTCACGCCCTAACCTAGAAGCCTTGTCCCAGGATTGCATCAGCCCCCCGGAAAAGGAGCTTTTTTTAATAATTCGTCTGTCCAGACGAATTCATCTGTGCCTTTTTGTCATTCCTCCGCCCACAAATGGCACTGTACATGGTAACCGCGGCCCTGGCTTTGGGCAAGTCCCTTCCCTTCTCTGAGCCTAGTTCTCCATTTGGGCGAGCCAAGCCTTTTGGAAAGGACTGTCACTCTCTTCCAGCCCTGCCTGTAGCTCTCTTGCCTTGGCCTTGTCCTAGCCCCTCCCCTCTCACCTCTCCAAGTGCCCCAAGAGGTGACCCCGGACAGCTCCTCCAGGTCGAAAAGTGCAGCTCATGCAAGTGAGGAGCTGCCAGTACCGCAGGGCCGAGGGGTCTTGGGTGGAAGGGGGGCCAGGAGGGCCGGTGGGGCCCGAGGTCTGCTTAGCCAGCTGTAGGAAGAGTTCATCCTGGAGTGCAGGCAAGTCTCTGCAAGTCTGGAGCACACCCTGCATCAGGGGCCCGGGGCGCCGTGCCCCCTCCAGTGCCTGTAGCGCCAAGAACAGCCGAACCGCCTCTTCCCGCAGGGGTGCATAGCCGGGACCTGTGGGAGGGTGGGGTTGGAGGGATGGTTTGGAGGGAGGGCACAGAGCTGGGCCCTAGGAGGAAGGTATGAATCTGGAGAAGGTCAGAGGGAGTGTAAGGGGACAGGGGATGGCAAGGAGAAGAGGGTACGAAGGACAGGCAGAGTGAAGGGAAAGCAATGGTCCCCACAAAATCAAACTCGCAACCCCTGCCTCCCAGGAATCCCCACTCCGAATCCCTCTAAGTTTGGACTTTGGATCCATATGCAGAAGGATAGACTTAGGGACAAAGTTCAAAACCTTTGATTCTATAACTGGATACTAAGAGCCATTAGGATGGACCAGAAAACACCCTGGACTAGAAGTCAGAAAAGCAGGGTTCTCCCACCAGTGTCCCTTAATCCTCTAGCAAGTCACTGTCCTCTTAGGGGGAAAACTTTAGCTGGATAAGGGCAGTTGTTCTTCCAGAACCTTCTCCCAGAGTGGAGGTTTTCTATCACTTGTAAAGGTAATGTTGTTGTTGTTAAGTGCCATCGAGTCGGGTACGACCCATAGCGACCCTGTACAGGGTTTCCGAGGGTGTAAATCTTTACGGGAGTAGAAAGCCTCATCTTTCTCCCGCAGAGCGGCTGGTAGTTTCGAACCGCTGACCTTAAGGTTCGCAGCCCGATTCGTAACCACTACGCTACCAGAGCTCCTTTGTAATATGTACAGGTAATATGCTGTAGGATAAGCACTGGACTGGTAACCGGAAGGTTGGCAGTTCAAACCCACCAGCCACTCTTGGAAACCCTATGCAGGGTCACTATGAGTTGGAACTGATGACTCTATGGCACACAACAACAATATGATATGCTATGAAGGAAGCGTAGTAGTACAATGGTTAAGCACTCAGCTGCTAACTAAAAGGTCACAGTGGTTTGAACCCACCAGCAGTTTTATGGGAGATAAGCACTGGGGATCTGCTACTGTAAAGATCACAGCATTGGAAACCCTATGGGGCAGTTCTACTCTATCCTCTATGGTCGCCATGAGTTGAATCCATTGGATGGCAACAATATGACAAAAAGAGTGTGATGACAGACCCAAAATGGAAGTGTACCAACTCCTGAAGGAACATCAGTGTCAGAATGAGACCCATAGAAAAGGTGAGCTAAACTCCCTTGTTTTTTCTGGCTTCCCTTTGCTTCAACCTGGCCAGCTCCCCATTTCACTTTTACCCTTTGAAGTGTTAGGGGATAAGAGTCCTGGTGTAGCGCTGTGTAATGCACTGGACTGCAAGGTCGGTTTGAATCTCAAGGTGGGCAGTTCAAACTCACCAGTCGCTCCTCAAAAACCCTATACAGGGTTGCTATGAGTCGGAACCGACTTGAAGGCACATAACAACAGATAGGTCCCAAGAGGATTCAGTTGGTAAGACATATTCAGATTCTTATCTCTGATGCCCCTCATGCCCCTCCAGTGGACTTGGGCCACAGGACCTCTCACCTGGGGCGTTCACTCCGTAGGGCAGGGGCAGGAGGGGGGCGTATAAGGCCCCACTCGTGTGTCTCAGAATAGGGTTTCGCCGATAAATGAGGGCCACAGCTTCAGGGTCCCCACAACTTTCCTAGAGGCAAAGGGAGAGGGTCACGTGATGGGGCAGGAGGCTCCCTAGGAACCCAGACAGCTTCTGGGTTTACCACCCTCTTCCTCATTTTCTCCGGAGTCCCCTCTCTCACACCTGAATATCTCTGAGCAGTAGCTGGGTGGGGGTTTCCAACGGGGCCTTGGCAGAAATCACTTCGCGAAGCGCCACTCCCCAGCGCTCCGCCTCAGCCTGTCGCGAAGAGCAGAGACGGACGCTATGCTTCCGGCCAGACACGGTCACTGACCACAGACCTAGGGGGAAAGAAAAGCCAGGAGTAATCAGAGCCTGATAAGGCCGCGGCTGCCCGGGGAAGTAGGCGAGTCCCCACAAGTCTCACCGGTCTCCTTGGGCTTGCGCTCCGGGCCGGTCACAGAGCACAGACTGGTGAGCACCAGGCTCCCGAGGCGCCGCGCCCCCTTCCCACTGCTGCTGAACTGGTCCAGGGAGTCCCGGGTGAGCACAAACCAGGCCCTGCGCGGGGGCAGCCAAGGCCGCGCCCCTCCTCCGCGGGGTTCGCGGTACAGCCAACCTGGGAGGTGGAGGGAAGGATCAGCAGGTGAAGACTTTATCTCCTGGAGAGCTGGGATTGGGCGCCTCTGGAGTGCAGTGTATGAGGGAATCTCCACCTTTTACGACGACATCCGGGTCATCCTCTGGCGGCCCCTTCTCCGGAATGAGGCTCCGCGTCTCATCTGAGCTCGGCAGCCTGGGTCACAGGGGAGAGTGTTGGGCAAGGCTGCCCGGCCCCCAACCCGCCTCGAGGGGGCGCTTCATTAAGGGCTCCCCAGACCAGAAATGCCTGATTCCTGCGCTAGGAATCCCTCTCCCTGGCTGTGGGAACCACCAGACTGTTCTGACCTCGCACCAGAAATAGCCTGGACAACCCCCTCCGCCTTCTCCCCGCGCCCCTGGCCGGACCGCCCCCTCCCGCCCCCCTCCACGGGGCCCTGGCCAAACCACAGCGTCCGGCAGAGGGCCTCTCCCTTATTGCACAACCGTGGGGGAGAAGATGGCGAGTAGGGGGGGTCCCGGGACGGGCTAGGGTCGAGAGAACGTGGGACATGGAGGTGGCGCTCACCTGTCGGGGACCGGCCCGGTCCTCACCGGCTGAGTCAGCGTCACGTCCAGTGGGCCCTAGGGAGACAGGCAGGAAGGACCTCCGGGTCAGAGCCCAACCTTTGAGATGTTCAAGATTTCTGACCCGGGACAGAGCTGCTCAAGGAATTGAGGAGTCAAGTAGCGGGGTGAGAGCTGGGACGGAGCCAGCTACAGCTACTGGGCTCGCCCCTCTGGCTGGTCCACCAGAGAAGCTAAAGCTCTCTGTTACCCTTTGAAGATGTAATCAGGGTGGGAGAGGGTAAAAAGAGCACTGGGCAGGGAGTCCGGAGACCTGGGTTCTAGTGCCACCTTAGCTACTACTTCGCTGAACCTTTCCACATCTGGGCCTCAGGTTCCCCATCTGTAAAATGGGAGACGTGGATGAAGTCCCTTCCTAGTCTGGCAGGCTTCAAGTCACACTTTCCTCTCCATTACGTTTCCTTCACTCTGTCTCGCTTGCCTTGGGAGGATTGGCTTGGTTGCAAAGGTGATAGACGGACCCAGTAAAGGGCTTTTCCCCCAGACACTCCTGAGCCTCAGTGGGGAGCTCCCTGCTAGGGGTCAGGATCGGTAAGCCAGCTGAGGAATGGCACACACACTACAGGTGAGGTGTAGTCTGGGATCTTGCCATCTCCCCACCGCCCTACATCGCTCTAGAACTTCACTCCTAGACTGCGGTCTGAGAGAGGCCGCAAACCGGTCCAGGAGCCGGGCCAGGGGGAACTGTGCCATCCTCTCCTTGAGCCGAGTCAGTTCAAGCCAGGAGGGGGAGGGGGGCCAGGGACACCTGTCCCCAAGCGCCAGGAAGGGGGTGGAGCACGAGGGGGAAAACTAATGGCGGGCTTGACAGAGTCGACCCTGCCCAGACTGGAAGTCTGGGCGCTTGGCTTCTGCCCCTCCTCCAATAGCGTATATAGCCACTCAATTTCTGGAAGATCTGAGCGGGGCTCTGAGCCACACCACCATGGGGGCAGGTGCTGACCACCTTCTCAGACCAACTCCCCTAATCGCAGTCCCCCACTTCCCTTCCCCCCCTCTATATTTATCCACCCTCCGCCTCCGCCAGGTGCTGGCGCTGGCCCTGGCGGCACAGCCCGCCCCACCCGGGCACCGAGCCACCAGGCCTGCCAGGGACCCCTGAGCGGGGGATGGGGAGCCTGGTCCAGGCCTTAGCACACGGGAGTCTGGCCACCTTCACGCAGGCGTATAGGGGAGGGGGCTCCCACACCAATCGTACCTCAGTTTCCCCTTGGGAGCCGAGTGTCCCTCACTATCCCTTAGGGATTTCCCAGGAACCTCACCAGGGAGGGCCGAAAGTTCTGTCCGTAGTGGTAGAATAATGACAGGGGCCCTCAAAGAACGGCGGCTCCTTCTTCGTGGGGTCCCCAGCCACAGACCCCAATCCCAATCCTAGGATATCTTCTTCCCCTCGCCCAGGTCCCCGCGGCGAAAACTCCCGCATCTGGCCCCAGAGCTTACGAACTGGGAGCGGATGGGACCCAAGCATCCGAGCCGCCCAGCCGGCCTCACCACATTCCTCGGCTCTGGCGGAGGCGGAAGGAGACGGGATGGGACGCGGGCCCGGCGGGGAAGGGAGAGGCAGGGCCAGGTCGGGCCACGCGTGACGCCTACTCTGCCTCAGGGCCCCCAGCAGGTGGACAGCGCCCAGCGTGCGGCGCGAGGCCCACAGGCACATCCTGAATCCGACTGTCCCTTTAGCTCCTGGGGGCTGCTGGCCCACCAGACAGGAACCTCTTTCCAGGTCCCCAGTGTACCCAGAGAACGGAGTTTGGCTGGAGTCTGGAGCGGGAGCAGGCGTGGAGGCCTGTTGTAGCCAGAGGAATTGAGACAAATCTCCAAGCCACCCCCCACCCCCTCACCCCAGGGACTTACCCTCCCTCCGCCCGCTGGATTCGAGGTCCGTAGCTCAAAGGTCTCCTCGTCCTCGTCCTCGTCCCCGTCTCCGCTAAGCTCGCCGTCCCCGTAGTCCCGGTGCAGAAGAGTGAAGCCTCGACGGCAGCAGAGAAGCCACCACAGTCCCCCAGGGAGAGGCATCCGGGCGACCGACTTGGGACCGGAGCGCTTGCAGCCGGGGCCAAGCAGCAGGGGGTCGAAGAAACTGGCGGGGCTCCGACTCGGGCGGGAGAAACCAGGGGCGGGAGGAAGGGAAGAGGGAGGCAGAGAGCAATAGGGAAGAGAGCAGTGTCCTGCACAGGGATGTAAGGGGACGCTAGATAGAGCCTGCGGGGGGCTTGGTATCTGGCCCCCGGAGGGGGAGGGGGAAGAGAGTCCAGGGCCGGGGTGGGGGCGAGGAGAGCGCAATGTCCGGAGCTGGGAAGTAGTGTCCGTTGTAGTGTCCAGCCCTGTGGGGGTCAGTGTCCGGTGCAGTGTCCGAGGTGGGCAGTTGTCCAAGCTCCGGGGAGGGTCGTGTCCGGTAGGGCATCCGGTGGCCGGGGCCCGGGTCGCGCGCTCTGCGCTCCCTGCAGCCCCGGGACTGGCGCGCTAGGGGCGCAAGCACAGCACCGGGACCCCGCCTCCCAGCTCCTTTTCCCCTGCGGGCCCCCCCTTTCCCTCTTCTTTTTCTCCTCCCTTCTTTACAGGGCAGGGTCCGTGTTTCGTCACAACGTCTCCTGCCCAATCCCTGTGCCTGGCGCCGGGCGGGGCCACCAATCAGACACCTGAGGCCGAGAGGGTTGCATCATGTGCTCCTGGCTTGATGACAGCGGGGAGGGGCGAAAGACTAGGGAGGGAGGGAGCAGTGAGATGTTAGTTACGCCCCAGTCAAGGAGGTCGGGAGCTGGGTGCTAGTGACGTCATTGAAGCCCCGCCTTCAGGCGTTTGTTTTAACTCTTGGCTCACCAACTAACAGATCAAAAACTCTCACGAGTTTTTGGAACGCGAAGGGCCTAGAAGCTGATGTTGAGGAAGACTCGGCTGCTGGCCTTTGAACCCCGTCTTGTTTCAAGGTCCCCAAAACGGAAGAGCCGTAATTATTAAAGGGTGTCCAGATTGCGCCTGAAACAGCTCCAGAGGTGGTCTCGGTCAGAGTTTGAGTTACCTCCTCTAGAATTGTAGAAACGGAAGCAGGACTACGGAAAGGTGCGGAACTAGGCCTGAATAAAACTGAATTTAGAGCATACAGCTCATGAATTCAGGTAGGGAGAATGCCTCGGGAGTCTAGAGATTCTGGGATCGCCAAATAGTGGTGGCAAAGGGCAAATCGCCAGCAGTTCTGTGTAGGAAGGGGTTAACCGAGGTGAGAGGCAGACGGGGCGGGGCTGGGGCGACTGCGGGAGCGCGCCTTGCTGACTTAGCGAAGATTGCCTAGGTCTGGGGTGGTGGGTTCCAGGTCGGCCCCCAGGAACTGGCGTGCGTGACCCTTTGAAGATTGGCGCCATCTCCTGATATTCCCTGGATCCTAACCCCTGGAGGCCGTAGCTCTCGGCCCTAGCTGCCGTAGCTCTGGGAAGAAAGGCTAATTCGGCAGGGCGGGACAGGACGAGGACATCAAGCCAGTGCCTCCCTTGAGACCTCTTCGCCACGCCCCGTCCCTCTCGCTCCGGGCTCCCTCACCCGTTTTTCAAGGCTGGAGTGGCCAGGGCTGCTTTGCTGACCGGATATTAAACTATGAGAGTTGTCCCATGTGAACATGATTCTGCCAGTGTGACTGTGTAAAACAAAGACCAGAAATCAATGCGATTGTTTTCAGAAGCCATCCTGGCAGTGTCCAGGCCCTAGATGAAGAATGACCTGCACTGAGTTTTCCTAGGCATGAAGACACCACTACCACAGACGCTCTTCTCTGTCTAGAGCCTAGGCCATTGGTGGCAGAAAAGTTCTTTCCGATGTCTAACCTCCCCTTTTCCGGCATTCTCAATATGCATTTCCTCTGACCCCGACCCCAGGGAATAGGGAGAACAGCAACCTCACACCCCCATTCTACACCACGCCGGTGAAGACGGTTGGAAATTTGCAAGTTACATTTCCCTCCTTGTGTTAGTTTTTTTCTATGAGGAACTCCAGAACTTTTTCCTTCCATCACAGAACCTCCGAAGAAATTGTAAAATGGCAGTCTAATCTTAACGTCCACCTTCTACCTCTACCCGCACCCCCCCACACAGGCACACACAGTTCCTGACAGCCTCAGCTTGAGCATTCCAGAGGCCAGGAACTAGGTACTTCCTAAGACAGTCTCACTGGATAGGTCGACTTGTTAAAAAGTTCTTCCTCACACTATTTCAAGAAAAACCCCCGTCCCTCCTCGCCTGGCAGCTTTGCCATCTCACCTCTGTTGGCAGAGTGGGTGAAGGTAGAGGGGTGTCAGTGCCTAGAACCTTAGCAGACTCAAGCAGTCTCCCACCCCTACCCGAATCTCAGCGCCTTTCACTCAAAACCTATCGGGAGGGATCACCCACCAGCTCTTCCTTGCTATAAATCACTTCCAAGTCGGTGCCTCAAAAATAGTAACAGTTGTTGACTTGCATCTCATTTTCATGTTATCAATTTAATGTGTCAAGGCACAGAAGCAATCCCTTTAGGTCCCTACCTCCTTCTCGGTGTTCTTTCACCTACTCCCTTTCCTACTATCCTCCCCGGTATAGTTTCCTCAGACCGCCCCCCTTTAGAATTGCATCTCTGGTTGTCCTAGAAGGAGAGGCTGTGGGTCTCAGTGGGAGCGGAGCAGGAAGACAGGCGGGGCCCGCGGGGGCAGCGGCCGCTGATCTGAGGCCCGGAGCTGCAATTCCCACCCCGGAGCAGCCTCCGGAGGTCCTGGCGGAAGCGCAGCCCTAGAAAAGCGTAGAGAATTGGGTTGAGGCCGCAGCGGGCGAGGGCCAAGCCGCCGGTCACCAGCAGAGCTAGGTCCTTGCGCTTGCTGGCTGGGCAGCTCCGTTCACGAGCAGCCAACAGATCGGCGGTATCCAGCAGCAGGGCGAGGCTGTAGGGCAGCTGCAGTACTACGAAGGCCGCCACTAGGGCCACCACGACGCGCAGCGCGCGCCTGCGCTCGGGCCCCCTGGCGGCCAGCAGCGTGCGTCCAAGGAGCGCGTAACAGGCCGCCATGACGCCCAGTGGCAGTGCGAAGCCCAGGACCACCTGCGCCACCGCGCTCGCCCCCTTCACCGTCTGCATGAGGCCCTCGGGGAAGATGAGGCGGCAGCGCCGCTGGCCTTCCCGCTGCCCATCCTGGCTGAAGAGGAGCGCGGGCAGCGCCAGGAGCAGTGACAGCAGCCATACGACAGCAGAGACCAAGTGTGCCCGGCCTGGCGCTGACAGCCGCGGCCTAGCCGGGAGGGCCCGTGCAATTGCCACGTAGCGGTCGGCGCTGATACAGGCTAGGAAGAGGAATCCGGCATGGAAGGAGGCCGAGTAGAGGCCGGAGATGGCACGGCAGGTGGCACTGCCCAGGCTCCAGCCCTGCAGAGCCCCAACTGCAGCAAAGGGCAGAGTCAATGCCAGCAGGAGGTCGGCTAGAGCCAGCTGGAGCAGGTGGGCTGAGGTGGGCGAGCGGGCTCCTCGGCGAGCCACCAGGTGTGTTGCCAGAACCAAGCCATTGCCAGCCAGACCTAGCGCAGCAACCGTCAAGGAGACACTGGGTTGGAAGGCCCTGCTGAAGGCCTGGACGTCTGCCTTGTAGCAGAGCTCCGGTAAGGGCTCAGACGAGTATGCCTCGTCATCGTCCCCAGAGTAGGGACCCCAGGAGACCTGGGGAGGTCAAGATGAAACATCCGATGAGACACTGTATCACACACACACCTCCCTCTCACATCTACCGCCCAGCTGTGAGCTCCTGTGAGCAGCTACAACAATATAGGGGCAAAGACACACACTCTTCTCAAAATTCTTCCCTCACACCCTACCCCCACCCCAGCACCTGGGCTTCCTGCCTCAACCTCCAACTTCCTGGGTGACCTTGAGCAAGGGACTTGCTGCTCATTTTGGACCTCAGCTTCCATATTAATATGTTAAGTCGAGATTAGAAGTCTTAGCCATCCCACTTGGCAGGATTTGCTTTGAGGTTTGTTTGAAATAAAGAAGATATTGGATGTGAAGTATCTTTGCTTTCTATAGTCCAAAGGGCTTGTATTATTAATATATCTTGAAGCTTCGGTTCCTTCTGCAGCGCCCTCTCCTGGACGGATGGCTACATGCAGGCTTTGCCTCAAACCTGACACTAGACTCCAGGCTTGATTTGTAGAGGGTTTTTGTTTGTGTCCTTACCCTTCCCCCCTCTCCCCACTCCATCCCCGTACCTTCAATATAGCTGCACTTAAGTACTCAAGCCAAGGTGTCTTCAAGGGTTTGGACTCAGAGCGTCTGGGCTCAGTTGGGGCCCTGAGCTCTAGGTTCAACCTGTCCTTCCCCCTCAGCCAGTCCTACCCTTTCCAGCCTCAGTTTCACACCACCAGCTGGGCCCCTCACCCCCTACCTGATATGGCTTCCCACATTCTGAATAGGGAGCTAGGATAGCAGAGACCTGTGATTCTCTGAACCCCTGTAACCAGGTGGGGGATCATATCACCTTACCCTCCCTCTCTATAACTGCCTCCCCCCAATCCCTGCCACGACTCCCACCTGCTCTGCCGGCTCAGTTCCCATCTCTTGAATCACGGGTTTCTGAGGTGTAGCCACAGTGGGGAGAAGTTAAATTAGTGGGACAGGAAGGAAGGGGCGGGGAGAGGGACCAAGAAAGAGGTGGGGATTAGGGTCTGTGGACCCCAGTTACCTAACTTTTTCATTCCCACCTAAAGAAAACCTCTATCTTGTCAGTAGAGGGGGGTGGGAGGTGCGGAGAGGAGGACTTTGGAATATCATTATTTGCTAGCTAGCTGTATGATCTAGAATAAGTTTAACCTCTCTGAGCTTCCGGTTTTTTGGTTTTTTGTTCTCATCTGCAAAGTGGAGTAGGTAAAAATGCTGAATCCACTTAGTTATGGAGGGTGCCCAATTTAGGACCTGGACATAATTTGCCTTCAGAAAATATTAAATGTTAGTGTGTTTCAACTTATCCGTTTCCCCATCACCAGGTACCCCCTCCCTCCTCTCTTTGCTTGAAATTTTCAGGACCACAGGGCCTTTGCCTCCCTTTCCCTCACTCCTGTGGTCCCAGCCCCCTGACTGTCTTGGGGCACTAGGGTATTTCCCAGGGGCTGAAGCCTCTCTGTCTACGCCCTTTCGCTTGAGAACGGAGGCGCGCGCTTGCGCGGGGTCTGGAAAAGCGCGCGTGCCAGAAGAGGCTGGGCGGGGGGCGGTAAAGAGGGAGGTGAGAAGGTGGGAAGGAGAGGAGAGAGAAGAGCGAAGAGCCAGGATCCTGAGAAAGGGAGAAAGCAAAGCGGGAGAGTGAAAGAGGGTTGGGGGGAGAAAGGAGGGAGGGAGAAGAAGGAGGAGAGACATTGGTTCTCCGCTAACCCCTAGGGGAGAGCTGTTAACCCGAGCCCGAGCCCGAGCCGGGCGCTGGGAGGCAGCCGCCCGGGACTCGTCAGCTCTGCACGATGCGTCTCCGGCTCTTCTACATCCTACTCGCCACGGTCTCAGGAGCCCTGGGCTGGGGCTACTGTGAGTATGGGGCTTCGACACAGACAAGGTTGGGCCCAGGAACCCAGAGACTGCAGGGCGGGTCCTGCACCGCATTGCGGCTGGGTGGTCTCGGACTCTTTCCCGGCCGGCGCGCGCCCGATCCTTAGCATCCTTTCCTTCCTCTCCCCCGCGCTCCGCAATGCAGCTCCGAGGCTGGCGCGCGCGGCCCGGGCTGGGCTAGGCTTCCAGCCGAGGATGGAGTCCGCCACGGCGGGGATTTGGAGCTGGAATGCTAGCGGGAGCTGGTGCTTGGGTTTGAGGCTAGAGTTGGGGATGAGGATCGTTCTAGCCACCTGGGCTAGGGTTAAGGTTTTGCCAGGGTCTGGGCCTGGACTTCGGAGTTTGGCCCTCCCCCCGCCCTAGGATTTGTAGCTTGGGCTGGGTTTTGTGGCTGGGATCTAAGCAAGGAGTTGGGACTCTGCCTGACACTAGGTTGGAGATGGCGCAGGTGATGGTGCTAGGGCTGGCTGGGGGAAGGGACCAAGGCCTGATTTGGGGCTGGTGCGGGGTTTAAAGGCAAATGGGGTGGGACTGATTTTAAAATTGGGGCTGGAGTGGAGTCTTGGGCTGACTCAGTTTCTGAAAGATGTTGAGGTTTGGGATTGGGTTTGAGCGAGTAATGTCCCCAGGCTCCTACAAGGGCAGGAACTGAGCTTGGGAGGTCTGACGTTGTGTCGGTAGGGCTAGTCTGGGTGTCCCCCAGAAGGAGAAGGCAGCCTGCCCTTGAGTGTGCAACAATTGCTGCAGGTGATCCAGTAGGTGGCTTTAGGTAGGACTGGGTCTGCCGCTGGGAGGCAGAGAAAAGAGAACTCTGGTTGCCTAGTGGGTTCGGCTTTGGAATAATAGCCTTCGAGGGGCCAGCTCTGACCAAAGTGTCCATTCCCCTTCCCTAGACGGCTGCGACGAGGAATTGGTGGGTCCTCTGTACTGGCGTTCGCTGGGAGCCTCCTCATATTACGGGCTCTTCACAGCGCCGCGCTTTGCCCGTCTGCACGGTGAGCAGCTCGTACCGCAGCGGGGTAGAAGACTCCCAAGAACTGGGGACGGGAGGGGGAGGCGGGTTAGGATAGGGAAGGCAGCCGACGGTGAAAACCCATGCTCCTTCTGCAGGCATAAGTGGATGGTCGCCCCTGATCGGAGACCCGAATCCCTGGCTTCAAATAGACCTAATGAAAAAACACCGTATCCGGGCTGTGGCCACGCAGGGCTCCTTTAACTCGTGGGATTGGGTCACACGCTACATGGTGCTCTACGGCGACCGCGTGGATAGCTGGACGCCATTCTATCAGCAAGGGCATAACGCGGTACACCGGCGCCCCTGAATGCACATTTGGGGAGTTCCCTCTGCTAGAGACCCTGAGCTGGGCACTAACAGGAGTGGGAGGCGGTAGTTGGCACGCATGAGGAGTAAGGCCACCATTCCATTCCGAGGACTCAGTCCAGTGGGACTGCCAAGATACATCGAGATCACGGGGTTTGATAGACTTCAGGGTGAAATCTGGGATAGTTTACCGAAGGAGGGGTCATTTAAATTGAGCTTTGAGGAAAAGATTCAGAGAGTTGGAGAGGACACTCCAGGCTTGGAAAACTGTTCAAAAAGCGAGGAAGGCAGCGAGCATCAAGGAGTATTTGTTTTCCTTAAGTCGAGCTCGGCTGCGTGCGTCCCTGTGGGGTGGGGGCAGTGGGGAAACGAAGCAGATTCCTTCCCCTGACCCCGCAGACCTTCTTCGGAAATGTGAACGAGTCTGCTGTTGTGCGCCACGACTTGCACTACCACTTCACCGCACGCTACATCCGCATCGTGCCCCTGGCTTGGAACCCGCGCGGCAAGATCGGCCTGAGGCTCGGCCTCTATGGCTGCCCTTACAGTAAGGGGCGGGGACGGTCGTGGAGGGAGTTCGGGTGACAGGCAGTCAAACCCGAGCCCACCTGCCGACCTTCGCGCAGAATCCGACGTGCTCTATTTTGACGGCGACGACGCCATCTCGTATCGCTTCCCGCGAGGGTTCAGCCAGAGCCTTTGGGACGTGTTCGCCTTCAGCTTCAAGACCGAGGAGAAGGACGGGCTCCTGCTGCACACGGAGGGAGCGCAGGGCGACTACGTGACGCTCGAGCTGCAGGGGGCGCACCTGCTGCTGCACATGAGTCTGGGTGAGCTTGGTTGGCCACGCGGGTCGGACCTGAGGTTCTCCCATCGCGCCGCCCAGCTCACGCCTGATGGTCCCAGCCTTTTTCTTGTAGCATTGCGTCTAGCAAAGTGCTGGACTTGGGAAATCAAGACAATGGGATTTCAGTTTCAGTTCTGGTGTGACCTGGGGGACAAGGCACTTCCCTAAATCTGAGTTTCCTAAGTGTCAAAATCGAATCTGCGGCAACTACTAGCGTAGTTACTGTTTTGTGTCTCATAATCTTTTGGTAACACCCGCGCGATGTAGATGAAAGCAACTATCATGCCCCGAGTTTCCCAGACAGAAAAACAGGGGTAAGGGGTAAGTCACACACTGGCCATTGACGCCCACACCATCCCGTGCCCGCTTTCCCTGGCCTCCCAGGCTCTGGGCAGCCCTCAGCGCTGCACACCGTTGCTCTGCCTGGGATCTTGCTGGGGTTCTCTGGGCTCAAGGTCGGACCATACCCCACCCCACTTTCAGGCAGCAGCCCCATCCAGCCGAGGCCCGGTCACACGACGATGATGGCGGGAGGCGTCCTCAACGATCAGCACTGGCACTATGTACGTGTGGACCGATTTGGTCGCTATGCTAATTTCACCCTGGATGGCTACGTGCAGCGCTTCGTGCTCAATGGCGACTTTGAGAGGCTGAACCTGGACAATGAGGTGAGCCTGGAGAGGCTTCCCATTGTAGGCAGTTCCCGGATGGAGCTGCTCTTGTTACAGTGAGAATTCAGATTTCAGGGTGTTAACCTCAGAACTATTGAGAGGAGGCCTTGAAATCTGGATTGTGGGAATCAGACAAGGTGAAAAAACAACCCCCTTGGGTCCTCCCACCACTCTGTGGAATGGGAGAAACCCTGGACCAATGGAAACTTGCTGGACAGGTGAAGTGACATGTCCAAGGGTGTGCGGCCAGTGTTCCGTGGAATCAGGGCCTGACCCCAGACCTCCAGGTCGAGTTTAGGCTGTGATACAGACACTGGGGAAATGGGTGTTCCCAATTGCTTAGGAAGGCTATATCCTACGACCTCAAGAAAGACGAGTGGGTGTGGGTGTGTGGGTGCGCTTAGGTGTTCCGGGAGCCTCACTTCGCACCCTGCCCGCAGATTTTCATCGGGGGTCTGGTGGGCGCTGCGCATAAGAACCTCGGCTATCGGCATAATTTCCGGGGCTGCATAGAGAACGTAATCTTCAACCGAGTCAACATCGCGGATTTGGCCGTACGGCGCCACTCGCGGATCACCTTCGAGGCCAGTGGAAAGGGAGACTGGGAGGGTGGGGACACAAAACCGCTTGAAAATCAAAAAGAGATGAAAGACAGCCTGAGAATCAGATAGAAGCCTCAGACCCCTTTCTCCCTCAGCCAGGTAGATGCTCAGGTTGAGGGATGTTGCGGACATCCCAGTTAAATGCTCTCTCTGGTCTGGCCCAGTGAAGAGCTGGAGAAACGAGCTCGGGAGAATCGGCTGGATCTGGGCTCACGCAGCTGCGCAGTGACTGAATCTGATAAAGAATCCTGTAATCTTTTCTTATGCTTCCCGGCCCCACTCCACTTAGGAGGTGCGGGCAAGAGGAAGGCAGCCGGCCTGTAGCCCTTTCAACCCTGAAAGAAAGGGAAGGAGGTGGTCGCCCTAGAGAGGGTGTAACTCAGTAATAACGAGCAAGCCTCCTGGGTTGGGAAGCCCTGCCACAGCTGGACAGATGTTTCCGAAAGGGAACGGTCAAGGTAGGAGGTCTTGCTCTCGGCCGCACCTAGGGATTAGGGTCTTGACCAATGAGAAAACTGAATTCCGAGGCAAGGCCTAGGCAAGCAGGGAAGGCCAGAGGTGGATTGCTGGGCTATGCTGAT